TTCCAACTTCTGAATTGTGACTTTAGAAGAAGCCCTATTTAGGGTTGGAAAATTAGCAACCCTTCCATCAGAGAGATCTTTGTTAGTCTAAAGCTTGCGTATTAATTGTATCATCAAAAAAGCAACGGATGCCCTGCTTTGTTGAGGTGCAACGGATGCCCTGCTTTGATGGCAGGTCCCCTCTCCGTCCGCCATTCCTCCCATTCTCTTCTCTCTCCAGGTCCTGCAAACCCAAGGTTGTTGATTGTGAAATGAACCGTTTTCTGTTATAAATTAAAACATTCCTCTTGTTTCCTCTCTTTTCTGGAATAGCCAACATGGAGGGTGTGTTCACTGTGATGGGCTTGAAGCCAGAGACAAGGTATGCCATCCGACTGACTGCCATCAATGGCAAAGGCGCAGGCGAAATCAGTTCTCCCTCCGAGTTCAAGACACAGCCAGTTCGTAAGTAACTCCCTGCTTTTCTGTTCTTCCTTGCTTTTTGCAAACGTCCTTCGTTTTCTCTCCCTGCCTCTTTGCAGCCTCCCTTCCATGCATGGATGGCTCCTGTTCCTCTTGCAGGTCTCATTCTGATCTTTCCCAAAACATCTGTCCAGATTTCTCTGATTTCACCAGGTTGTAACATCGACCCACTTCTGTTATTTTCTGTCTTCCAATGGTCTTTTCTGTTTTTGTTCTTCCTCCCACCAAGCTGCGCTCCCAGCGACTGGTTATGGAAATAAGGGGTTTGATTGTTTAGGGGGATAGTGTGGCTTTTCTTTTTTTAACTAGCCCTCACTCCTTTATTGTAGCTTGGCACATGTCATAACAATCTTGTGGGTAAGGGATAGAGAAATGAACCAGCTTTTTTCTGGCACAGCTGGTAGAAGGGTGGAGAAAGGGTAGAAGGGTGATTTTTTTTAATCTGAACTTCCTCTGTTATGAAGCATTGGTTGAGTTTTGAGCCAAACTGACAATCCTTTTACTTTGCCTGGGCCAGCAAGTTGTCATCATCACCCACCCACCCATGCCTCAGTCCATTTCAGTGGACAAACAAATGCCCCAATGACAGGTCTAGAAGGATAGCAGTTGCCTGCTTCTGTTGTTCATTGGCAACTGCTACTGAGAGGCACACTGTTTCCAACCCTGGTGTTAGCATCATGGCTAGTAACCATTAAAAGACTTATCAACTTTCTAGGATTTGTCTTAATTACATTTTGAAGCCAACCAATAGAGCAGGCATCACTGCTGCTTGTAACCCTGTGCTCTATGAACAACTATATATTTTGGTCAGTCTTGACTCTTATTATATACTCCGCCTCATTGAATTGTAAGAGACAGAGAAATATTGTTGGAGCACACCTTAAAACTTCCATCTAACTGGCAGAAGAGTTAAACTCAAGAATCAGGTTGCCACAGAGCTGTGTACATGCTTTTGAGCATTCATGTTCCACTGTGGCTCCTACTTTACAGTTCCACATCATTTGTGCACCACATGCTTTGCAGGATGTGGACAGGATTCAGACTGAACAAGCGAGAGCTAACTGCAAGTTATTCCTCTGGATTTTGCTGCTCCTCTGAGTGAGGATGGACCTGTATGTCTGTCCTACTGAGTTTTCCCATTTTCCAGTTCCTTCCTTCTTTGGAGGGGCAAGTGGAGGAAGCTGAGCTGTTTTCAGACTTGTAATAAAAATTAAACCGAGATTAAATGTAACATGATATGGAACAAAATGGGCTTTATATATATGTGGTTGCCCCAGATCTAAGCCCTTTTCCGCTCCCAGTTTCACTCAAGCCTCTACATAGCCAGCTTGCTCATGTTTGGATGGGCTTCCTTATACCCTTTTCCCAATTTTCTCCAACCAATGTTCTTCGCGTGTGCCTGGAAATGATCAGCAATAAACCCACACCTCCTTTCCTATGCCTGTTCAGCTCAGTACTCCTCCTACTACGTCCAGGGCCTCGCAACAAAGACCAGAGGTTACAGCGACTCTCCCACTCCGCCAGTTCCTCCCTCTCTACCTTGGAAGCTAGTTGTGCTCCTTGTCCCCACAAACTATCCAGTGCACAGATAAATGAACACAATTCCCCTCTTGTGCTTCTGTAGCTGCCCAGTTTTTACTCTTCTCTGATAATCTTAACCTGCCTACCTGGAAAATGTGACCCTAATGCAAGGAACGGTCGCTTGTTTTAAATTTCCAGTGCCTTGTTCTATCGCCTCCTTTATTTTCATCTCTGTTACATCTTTTCTTTTTTTGGGGTCTGTGTCTGTCTTTTCTTTTCATCTGTGTTCCAACCATGGGGAAACCGCAGGCACTCCACCGCCACGTAAGTGCTTCTGAATTCCTTCTCCTGGAGTGCTCTTACCCTAACACTGGATGTAGAACTAGCCCTTTTTAACTTAGCATTTCTCTCTTCCTTTCTTTTCTAGTTTTTTTTTAACCTTCCTTCTTGTGCTTAGAAACAAAGTAGCTGATAAAACTCTTGCATCTCCTAATAACACTGATGCTAGAGTAGCTGTTGTATTTTTCCAGTTAACACTGCCGTTTGTAGAAGTTGGTCAAGAGGTTGACGCCTCCTTCTTTCCCATCTCCAAAGCATGCAGTGTTGTTCGTATCTGCATGTGTGCCTATTTCACTTGCGATGTTGTTGTTTCACACACACACACAAACACACACCTGGGGTAGGCAATGTTGAAGTTCCCAGGCTGTCTCCAGTGGTTTGCTTGCTTTGATATCAGGTGACAAACTCACTTGTAGGAGGTCGATATTCCAAAAGAAAAAGCTTTTAAAAAATCCTTAGCATACAGGTGAAACTCAGAAAATTAGAATATTGTGGAAAAGTTCATTTATTTCAGTAATTCAACTTAAAAGGTGAAACTAATATATGAGATAGACTCATGACATGCAAAGCGAGATATGTCAAGCCTTTATTTGTTATAATTGTGATGATTATGGCGTACAGCTGATGAAAACCCCAAATTAACAATCTCAGAAAATTAGAATATTAAATGAAATCAGCAAAACAAGGAACTGCAAATAGAGCAATATTGGACTTCTGAGAAGTAGAAGCATGTATATGTACTCAGTACTTGTTTTGGGCCCCTTTTGCATCAGTTACTGCCTCAATGTGGCGTGGCATGGATGCTATCAGTCTGTGGCACTGCTGAGGTGTTATGGAAGACCAGGTTGCTTCAATAGCAGCCTTCAGCTCTTCTGCATTGCTCGGTCTCAAGTCTCTCATCTTTCTCTTGGCGATCAAGCACAGTAATCCCATGGGCACTGAACCAGGTTTTGGTACCTTTGGCAGTGTGGGCAGGTGCCAAAGTCCTACTGGAAAATGAAGTCAGCATCCCCATAAAGCTTGTCTGCAGAAGGAAGCATGAAGTGCTCCAAAATCTCCTGGTAGATGGCTACGTTGACCCTGGACATAATGAAGCACAAATAAAGGCTTGACATATCTCGCTTTGCGTGTCATGAGTCTATCTCATATATTAGTTTCACCTTTTAAGTTGAATTACTGAAATAAATGAACTTTTCCACGATATTCTAATTTTCCGAGTTTCACCTGTACACAGTACAGTTAGGGAATGAGGGATCTTGCACTTTACCAGCCTCTGTTTTATAATTAAAGGGGCTTTAGAGTCCAACAGAAGGAGAATGAACAGCAGAAGTAGCTCATGGGTAAACAGGGAAGGTTAGCAGAGCCAGACTCTCCTTAATTGTTCCTTTCATGTTAGTTTAGATTTGTAGATAAATATTGGAAATGAAAATTGGAAAAGAGCAAACAGCCCTGGCTTGGACTCTGATGAGTCTAAAATATCTACAGGGCACCAAGTTGCGCCAAGCTGCCCTAAAATGAAATTGTACTGCTGCTGTCACTCCAATGTTAGGTTTAGTCCCAAAAGAATTCACCCTCCGTCCCTTCAAAAGCCGAAGAAACATGGACACCCATACATTGGGGTCAGTTCACTTTCCCAAACGGACCAGCCAGATGCTTACAAATCGGGCAACGTCCTTTTTCCATTGTGTGTTCAGTACATTGCCCTTATATATATATGGAAGTTCCATTTAGCTTTCATGGGTAATAGCCACACATTGTACCTCTGGTGGTGGCCAATCTTACATGGCTGGTTTATGGACATCCAATTCATGTGGGGTTCAAGCTGTATCCCTCCCAAAGGGTGATCAGATAAATAACTGAGGGTTAAAGGGGGGAGTGTTAGAGGCACTTTGCTCTCAGGCTGGTGGTGAGCAATAAAGTTGCTGTCCAGTGCAGCCATGTCTGAAAATAATGGATCGATAGCAACTCCCTTGCAGCTGACTGAGCATTGCGAAGAAGTTACAGCCAATAATTGGAAGTCAGCATTAGCACAAGAGCTGGGACTGGAGGGCAGTATTTCATGGAGGCTCCGGGGCATTTGTGCAAGTTGTGATGTCAAGGGGTGCGGTTGTGAGAAAACGAGAGTGTTTTTGTAGCTGGCTCACAGAATCACAAGGCTGCAATTGCAACAATTTTGGCTTCAATATTAATTAAACACACATACACACACACACACACTCCCCTACCTGGGCTTAAAAGGGGAAGGGGGGAAAGCTTGCTGTCAAAACAATTGCAGATGGAAACTGTGAAGCAGTCTGCTTCATTACAGAGCTGCTGATTGCGGTAGAGAAAGAGCATAAGGAATGGTGGAGAGATGATGGCATGGAGATTTCTTTACTAAATTGTGATTGAGCTGATAACCTTTTGAATTTAATTGCAGGAATGTTGTTTCTTAAATGTTGCTGAGGATTTTATTAAGATAGAGTGAGAAAGAAAATACGTTCCGTCACTGCAAGGTCCCCAGATAGCAGCACACTACATCAGTGTGAATGATGAACTGTTCTACTCCATGACTGGGGAACCTTTTTGTCTGCTTGAACCATACCCATAGAAGTTGTTTCTCACAGGCCAGATTTGACAGGAGGAGGGTCTGCCCCACTTGCCAAAATCACTTGCACTTTGCAAGTCTCCACACACTTTTAAGCCTCTGAGATTGGGGACTTAAAGGGAGAGGGAGGAGTTTGCTAAAGGCTTTGTGAGTTTCCTCCTTCCCTCTTTTAGTCCCCTATCTTGGAGGCTTAAATGGGGAGTGGGGAGGATGCTCACCAAGTCTTTTACAAGTCTGTCTACACTTCCCTCTTAAGCCTTCAGGATTGGAGACTTAAAGAGGGAGGGGTACACTTGCAAAAGGCTTTAAGACAGACCTTTATTCCCATTTGAGCATCCAGAGGCTCAAACAGGGGTGCAGGAGCTATCTTAAATCCCTTGCGAAAGCCTTTTTGAAGTAGCACACATGCAGAAGCTTCTTCAAAGGGTGCTTCTGCACAGGGCTTTAATCTCTGTTTAGCTGATGAATGGCGATTAAATCATTCTGCCTGGGAACTGGATCACACAACCAATTAAACCCTGTCCTACTACGCATCAGCTGACGTAATCAGTAACTTCAGTTGATGGGCAGGTGGGTGGGGTTTGTAGGAAAAAGCCTTGCGGGCCAAATTGGATCCCTTGGTGGGCTAATATTGGCCTGTGAACCATGCCCACTTCTTCAAAAATTACCGTATTTTTTGCTCTATAAGACTCACTTTTTCCCTCCTAAAAAGTAAGGGGAAATGTGTGTGCGTCTTATGGAGCGAATGCAGGCTGCACAGCTATCCGAGAAGCCAGAACAGCAAGAGGGATCGCTGCTTTTGCTGCGCAGCGATCCCTCTTATTGTTCTGGCTTCTGAGATTCAGAATATTTTTTTTTCTTGTTTTCCTCCTCCAAAAACTAGGTGCGTCTTATGGTCTGGTGCGTCTTATAGTGCGAAAAATACGGTAAATGGGGGGTGGGACGTGTTAGGTTTAGGAGCACCTTGAGTTGCACTCCTTTTGCATATATTAGCACTCCGTACACCCACCCTGTGAAGTAGACTGGCATTGCCATTGCATACTAGCGGCAGGCAGTGAGCATTTGCCAATGACATCTTTGCTGAGTCAGATGAGCCTTGCATCAGGAGCCTTCCAACTCAGTCTCGTAACCACTCTGCTCACCCATTTCTCCCCTGTCGGCAAGTCCAGCTGTAACAAAAACCCACAGTTCTTGCTCTTCAGCTTGCCTGGTCCTCTTCTGTTTGTCAGAGGACAGAGCAACCCTGGGATGGGACAGACAAAGCTCTGCAATGGGAACATCTACACAATCAGGTAGTTCTGATATTATAGAGGTGACTGATTTCCGGGGAATGAGAGCCTCTTTTTTTTTTTTTAACCATTCCACAGCTCTCTTCAGCTCTATAAATGTTCTCAGTAAGTGAGGCATTAAAAAGTACTTTATGGGTTTCTTAACCTGCAGTAATGTATGCAGTGATGGCCATAAATGAGCAGGTGTTGTGTTTGGAAGAGAGTATTGGGCAACAGCCAAGATGGACACCACCACAACACACAGACACACGTAAAAAAGAATATTGAGGGGGAAACCCTCAGGAACCCACCCACTCTGTACAAAACACAGAGACCACTGAGTATATTTTGTGGGCACAAAATACTGACCTGACTGTTAGAGTGGGGCAGCAGGGAGATGAATTGGAGTTACTGGAAGTCCAAATTGGAGCTTTCCTCTCTACATCACAGTATTCTGTTGCAGACACACACACACACCCCAAATTTCTGTAGACTTGCAACAGTCTTTGCATGTTTGTTTTCTGAAGGCTTCATACTACAGCCAAATTTGGGTTGGCCTAAGGAGTTCCCTCCAACCTCTGGAATGGAGTTGATGTGACTCCTGCTTTTCCAAAGGGGCAGACGAGGAATTCCCACCTCTGAAGAGTGCAAAACTATTGGAGTATTCAGTCAACATTTTCCCAATATTCTGTTTATTTATTACATTTTTTTTCCTTCCATGGAGTTCAGGTCCTTGTTCACTTCTCCCCCAACTTTCTTTTCTGTTTTATCCTCACAGCTATCCTCTGAGGGAACTCTAGACATACTTCTGAACTATGAAATTAAAGTAATGTCTAGTTTGACCCTGAGATAGGTTCGTCTGAAGGAGAGGAACTGCCCCAAGATCACCCAGGGAACTTCCGGGATCTCCTCAGCCCAATGGCTCTCCTTATTTTATAATTCCTTGGCGTAAATGTTCTTCAGCCCTTGCCTTTTTGTCATCAGGCTCTCTTTCCCCCCTTCCCCGCCTTTTTATTTTCCTTCATAATTTATCTTCACACCAGGCTTCACCTTTACATGTCCGATCTATCCTTCGTGTTTCCATAGCAACCCAGCATCCTACTGAATCTGAAAACACAGAGCCAGCCCGTGAGTAGCAGAAAGGCTTTCCTCCCCTCTTTCCCTTCTCTCGTCCACACCCCTCAGACACGTTTACAAAACAGTATGGTGTGCGATAGAGTGCACGGCCAGGAGCCATTAATATGCCCCGCCCCACTATGCGATGGGCGCACTCCAGCATGAACGGATGTGAGTAAGAAAAGACCTGGCACCCTCATCCCTGCACAGTTCCCTTCCCCCAGATTGTGTTGCAGAGTGGAGATACGCTGGTGTTTTGCCATCTATGTGTTTAACGTTGTCGGGAATTAACACCTATTTCATCTGAATATTTAGACGGGCTTCCCCTTTAACTCCCTCTTTCTTAACATCCTGTTGATCTTGCTCCCTCATTTTAGAGGTGAAAAACTAGATTAGGCTTAATTAAAATGGAGCAGGGTAAATTTGAGAAGCCTTCACAAAGGAAATAAAATGCCCAACAAGATCTGATGCTTCTCCGAGCCCCTGAAGCCTACAGCTGTGATCTTGTGTGTGATTATCCAAATTTTCTCTATTTGATGACATGGAACCCTCGATTAAAAACTGCCCCGGTCTACTGGCAGGTCCCAGTGGAAGAACATCCAATATTGACATTGGATATAGCCTGGCTATTATCTATTCTTTATTAACATAGGATAACTTCTTAACAGTTGCTTGGAAACAGCAAGTTCTTTTCTTGGATTTTGCCCTTCTCATATCCTATTAAGCCTCAAAACACATCATGACCAATATATGAAAATGGCCACTGAAGGAGATTCAAATAAAATTCCAGTTTCTTGCTGGAAGTTGTATTCCGTGGTTTGTAAATTAGCATTCCTCAGAGGGAGTTGCGGGAAAACAGGACGTGGCATGAAATCTGGTTCCTCTAAATTATTTAAACATCTACAGCAAATACATCCTTTGGACTGAAAGGGATGAAGTGGTTGCACTTGATAAAATGTACACCTGTTAAAAACCTCTGCCTTGTGACATCTTTGAGGTGAGCATGACTAACTGCATAATAATTCTAAGCTTGATTTCGGTTCCATTTAACACACAATTTGCCGCTGGGTGTCTTTGCAGACACAGTGGGTTTGCTTGCAGTTTATCCACGTGTCCCAAAATTAGAATGTTTAACATCTGCGCAGTTTGTTTTTTTCATGGCTTGAAGAGGGGGTGGGGCATATTGATCTCACCAGAGTTTTACGCCATGGTGCCATATTACTGTGTGGAATACCTTGTCATCTCCTACAGAACAAATTTAGTAATAGCCTACTCTTCCACGGAACTCTGCACAGAACCCCAGTTGCCCCACTGCCTTTAGAGCAGGTGGGGCTTCATATTGTAAAGAAGCCTTGGCCTTCTATAGAGGTTTTTTTTTGCTATGTCTTTTTCCCAGAATAGCTTAAATACTTGAGTCTTGTGAATATAGGTTTGTCCTTCCCAGTGGGAAGCAGGGAAAGTTCCAGTTCTGCAGCTGTAAGGAGGTGGTCTTTATATATTAGGAAAAAAGAGGTGGGAGGGAGGCCGCTTTACCAATCTTTAAGATGCATTGATTTGGGGTTTGGATCAGGACAAGTGTGCCTATCCACAAAGGAGCACCATCTTAAAGCTTTATTGAACTAAAATCAACATACCTTTTTAACTATTTCAGTATGTAGTCACAGGGATACAGAACCCGTTGCTCAGACATCATTGAACTCCAGGTTCCAACATTCTTGACCAGTGGCCATTCTCATTTTTCTAGTCTTAAGTACAACTTTCCACAGTTGGTTGGTTGGTTATAAATCCCAATGAAAATTCACCAGCATTTTAGTTCATTTTAGTGCATATTTCTACCAGTAGACATATTTTTGCAAGCAATTTCTTCTCATATGCATTTCCGCACGTTATTTTCACCAACATATGTATTTTTATGTGCACTTTCCCCTTGCATACACATTTTGGGATTGGTAACTGCATCCCAAAAATCAGAGAAGGGCAAATTTTGCAGGATAGCTATGTTTCTGTTTGCATATAGTTTGGGGATGTGTGAATTGAGTACAGGTATCCATTAAAATGGACATGAAACTGAATTACTCCCCCATTACTACTATGCTATATTTCATTAGGCACACACTGGACAAACATTTATTCACAAGACTTCATTTTCTTACTACCCTCATTTCAAAAGGGACTTAGGACAATTTTCAACATCAGTAAAAAATTTTAAGGCGCTAAAAAACTTACTTTTTGCCATTCCTGTCCAAACAAAATGGTGCTGGACTAAAGACAAAGACGGTCTTCTTCCAGGAATTATTTCTTTATTTGGAGTGGAGTGGAGAGGAGAGGGGTAATAAGTCTTCAAACTCAAGGCTTGTCCACAGTTCTGCTTGACCCGCTAATGTTTACTGCTGAATCAGAACAAACGTAAATCAGTTTTTCTGCCCAATGACATTTGTTCCAATTCAGTTATAAACAGCAGGTTTTCCTGGTGAAAGTGGTGGGACAAACAAAAAACTGCTTGGACTCATGCCTGGAAAGCACAGGGCAAGCAGAATACCTCTCAGACCCATGCTTTCTAGGGGCAAGAGGAATTGCGGAAGAGCCCTTAATCTTTGTTCAGTCAGTGATCTTATCTCTTCACATTTACCACTGTGTGAGCCCAAAGGTATGAAAAACAGTATTTAGATCCACAATTAAACTTTTTTTTTTTTTTTAAAGTTAATTTGGAATCTATTAGTAACTACTTGCATGCTTGCTGAACAAATTTCTGGGTGAAAATCACGACCAACAGTGAAAGAATGATTAACAAAAATGTGGAAGAGTAACA